TTGCATCTGCAATACGGTCTCTTTCCTTCTTAAAATGAATTATCCATCTGTGAATTGCTGATTTCTTTGTTTCCAAAAACTTTCTGTGAAGCCACAGTGAATTCATCCCTTTTCTAGTCAAACTTCACCATGAATTTGATGCCTGTTGTCACTTTCAGCAGAATCTATGCCTTATTTGGCATAGTGGGTTAAGAGTTGGGCTGATAATCACAAAGTCAGTGGGTTAATCCACCAGCCACTTTGAAGGAGAATGATGAGTTGTCTCATCCGCTCCAATATAGATTTACCGTCTTGGAGACTCTAAGGCGCAGCTTTGTTTTGCCTACAGGGTCACTCTGGGTGGGAACTGACTTAATGGCAGTGGGACTGGTAGGTTTTGGATAGGGGCTTTTTTCAAACTGATGTTTTCTCCTTCTTAGTGCCTCAGAGTAGATCCCGTTGAAACATAGTATAACAAGTTAGTAGGAGTTTACTTTGCAGGAAAATGAAGATCCATGCATACCTATTTCACAATACCTATTTCTCATGAACTTTTTGGATACAGGCCCGCAGATACACTCATACATGCATACATAATACAAACACATTCCTTCCTGAATACATGAGGCTTCAAGAAGTTCATGGAAAATGGAATTAAAAGACAATGGAATTTCTCCATGAACTTTTGGAAGCCCTATCGTTTATGTGTACACATCTACCTATGTAATTGCACATAGGTATTTTCTTGGTCATTGCTGTTACTGAAGTTGTCCCTTATTCTTTATGAATATTTTAGTGTCTTCATTTGTCTCAGACAAGTTGGGCAGACTTCGCTCATACCAAGCGCGGCTTCCCATCACCAAAAGTAACTGTGTCTACATCTGGAAAGTTACTCCCTGTCCGTTCCCTCCCATCCCTGCTAACTACCAAAGACTGTCATTTTGTGTGTATACCTATTCTTCGCTTCATATACAACCCAGACCATACAGTATTTGTCCTTTTGTTATTGACTTAACTGACTCTGCAAAATGTCCACCTCATGTTTCTTCTTCTTTTTTTTTCCTTGGAGGATGATGATTTTTATTGGGGTGGCGAGCTGGGGAAATATCACCTTCGGTCATACATCTCCCATAGGTTCTTCATGCTTTCTGTGTAATGGAGCTGGTTCTGATACAATGCCTCCTTCCACCTCTGGTGAATGAGTTTCCAGCACTGCATGTTGCGTTCAATGAGTGTCGAGGGTGAGGGTGAGGGATCGGCGGGCTCATCATCCGGGGTACCCTGAGTCTCAGGCTGCAGGGGAAGGATTCCGAGTTCTGCAGGAATCCCCAGGAGCCATGGGCGGGGACAGCTTGTACAAATCGCACCTCTTGTTGTTGGGAACTTCTGAGCTCTCCTCACCCTCGGGTAGTGGGGGTAGCAGGGAGGTGGCTGAACGTTCTCGCTCTCGTGTGGTGGGTCCGTTGCGTATCCAGGCACAGCAGGTGAGGGACAGCGGGGTGTTCTCACAGAACTTGGCCAAGTCCACATTGGGGTCAAAGAGCTGGATCGCTGAGGCCCTCCCTCGGCCAGCCCACCACCCATCTCCCTCCTCTTCTTGCGCGGCGGCAGGTGAAGGAAGCGGGAGGATGGCCGTTTGCCAGTGGCTGCGATGAGCAGTCCTAATTGTGGGTGTCTGACGGTGTCTTCCCAGCTTCCTCAGCCAGTCACTCCCTGCCCATGTGGCTCTTCTCCAGCAGACACTGCAGAATCGCATCCAGTTGGTTCTGGGCCAGGGCCATCTCCGACTCTGATTTCTCTGCTTTGACTTTCACTGGGAACAAGGTTTGGGCTCAGGGTCTGGCTATCTGGGTCAGGTAAGTCACAACGCTTGTGGGGTCACAAGTTAAGGCAGCAGGGGAGGAGAGCTCAAAGGTACTACCAGTCCTCCATCAGCGGCCTCATTATGCTTTAGTTTCCTAGCACTCCATTGTATGCATGGGCCACATTTTGTTTAACCATTCATCTGTTGATGAACTCTTGGGTTGTTTCCACCTTTTTGTTATGTTGTGATGAACACAGGTGTGCATATGTCTGCTTGTGCCATTGCTCTTATAATTGTAGGATACCAATCTAGGAGGGGATCCTGGATAAGATATAAAAGCTCTTTCTAGCTTTTTGAGGATGTACGATACTGTTTTCTACCATGATTCAACCCTCTTTTAAAAGGAGTCTTGTTGCCTTTTCTACATTAGATCATTTTTTCTTTTTTAAAAAAATCATTTTATTGGGGGCTCATACAACTCATCACAATCCATACATACATCCATTATGTCAAGCACATTTGTACATTTGTTGTCATCAGCATTCTCAAAACATTTGCTTTCTGCTTGAACCCTTGGTATCAGCTCATTTTCCCCTCCCTCCCCACTCCCCAATGAACCCTTGATAATTTAGAAATTATTATTATTTTGTCATATCTTACACTGTCCGACGTCACCTTTCACCCACTTTTCTGCTGTCCATCCTCCAGGGAGGAGGTTATATGTAGGTTATATCCTTGTAATCAGTTCCCCCTTTCCACTGCACCCTCCCTCCACCCTTCTGGTATCACCACTGGTCCTGAAGGGATCATCTGTCCTGGATTCCCTGTGTTTCCAGTTCCTATCTGTACCAGTGTACATGCTCTGGTCTAGCCAGATTTGTAAGGTAGAATTGGGATCTTGATAGTGGGCGGGGAGGAAGCATTTAAGAACTAGAGGAAAGTTGTATGATTCATCCTGCACCTGCACTCTGACTGGCTCGTGTCCTGCATGCAACCCTTTTGTAAGGGAATGCCCAGTTGTCTACAGATGGGTGTTGGGTCCCCAATCTGCAAGCCCCCTCATTCACAATGATTTAGTTTTTTCTTTGATGCCTGATACTCGATCCTTTTGACACCTCGTGATCACACAGGCTGGGGTGCTTCTTCCATGTGGGCTTTGTTGCTTCTGAGCTAGATGGCCACTTGTTTACCTTTAAGCTTTTAAGATCCCAGATGCTATATCTTTTAATAGCTGGGCACATCAGCTTTCTTGACCACGTTTGTTTATGCACCCATTTGTCTTCAGCGATTGTATCGGGAAGGTGACCACACAATGATATGATTTTTTGTTTTTGATGCCTGATAACTGGTCCCTTCAACACCTTGTGATCACACAGGCTGGTGTGCTTCTTCCATGTGGGCTTTGTTGCTTCTGAGCTAGATGGTCGCTTGTTTAACATTAGATCATTTTATGGCCAACACTATATGGCCTCCTGTACAAGCACAGAATAGTCCAATGTAACCAGTTCAGTATCATAGAAGACACACTTCAAAATACCACAGGGAAGAAAATGAAAGTGTAAAATAACAAACATAGCTGTTACTTCCAGTCACTAGAAGCCAGACATAGATTCAGATAACTCAAAGTAAATTTTGGACTAAACACTGGCTTAAGATGGCTACGAAGAAAAACAAAACCATAAGTGGTAGTGCTAGAAATCTCCTAAACCAGGTTGTCTTAAATCAGCATAGGCTGCACTAGGGGGACCCCTGACTCCCAGGAGGTACTTCAGGGCTCCATAAATGTTGGGCTTGCATTCCATTTTCAAAATATTCCTTCTGTTTAAAAGCTGAAGTGAAGAAAAGCATGCACCCTGAAGTGTGCTATATGCCAAATGCAAACACATCCATTAAGCTGCCAGGACACCTTGACTTTATGCAGACCTTGGAATAAAGCTTCTCCTGCCAGCTCTTTCCAAGTATCTGCATTTATGTAACGTCGTCACTGAGTAGGAAGGAGGCTGCAGTTCTGCACTAGCACTGTGTTTAAGCTCAGGTTTGCACATCACCCAACGTGGCTGCTCATGTAAAACTATACCAAGGAAGAGAGGCTATGTGCCGAAAGCAGGATTTTCTCCATACCATGCAATCGAAAGAGAATACAGAATATGTAAGGAGCTCCAGCTATTTTAGCATAATGGTGCCCACAATCTTACTCCGAGTTGAACAACTTTCATGTTCTTACTTTAGAAGAAAGTTGAACTCGATGAAACAAACGCATAGTGATAAACTATCGTTATCTGTGAGTTGTTTTTTATCCCACAGGGGAAAACGTCAATCACTAAAAGAGAAAAAGTAGTCAGGTAATAAATTCACAGAACTTGAAGACTTTTATCTACCCAGCAACAATCAGCAGGGACAAATGACTCTGAAACCTGTTCCTGCAATGCCACACATTTTGCAGTGCCTGTCACACGGATGCCACATAAATGCTCCGTAACTTGATTTTGAAATGCAGAAAAAGAATGTCCTCGGTTACCTGCTTTTGTTGCATTTTCAGTTAATACCCCAATTACATCAGTAAAGTACGGGGTTGTAAAACACTCTGGGCAGGCTCGCATTGTTCTCAAAGTCCCAAGTTGATAGGAAAGATGGTATTTCCTTCACTTACACAAATGTCTCTGCCACAGTTGTTAAAATACTTCATTCAGAAAAAAGTTCCTTCTTGAGGAAGGCTAAAAAAGAAACTTAAAATATTATAAAATTCCATTGTTAAAGTAAAATAATAAAATAAAATCATAGCCCTCTTTGACAGAATTTTTAATGAGCCTAGGGCATTCCTTCTCAGATCTCTCCACTGAAATAATCCACAGTAACAATAACTACGGACCTTTAGTGTGTGATTATACAGGTTTTAAGTAAGCCTGATAAATAACACAAAATTTCTTTGTAGCATTTGCTCTTAAAGACACTTGTGAATTTTGTGTTGTGTGCAACACGTTCTTTTTCTACTTCAAAAACTGAAAAATGCGCTCCCTCTAAAAATCTGAGTAAAACCAGAACTCCAGGAAAATGTTCCACTTCCGTTCCCAAGCTTAGCTGACATAATCCAGTTGTCACAAGTCCCCTTACAGGAAGCATGGAGCGCAGTATCCCGCACAATCTGCAGTGACTAACACCCCGTTCCTGCCAGGCTTGCAAAGAGCAGACTTTATTGTTCCTTGAACGGATGACTTACGTTTTCATGCTTCATATGCTTAAGTAACCGCAGTTCTCTGTAGGTCCTTTTGGCATGAATGATGGACTGAAACGGCCTGGAGAGCTTCTTCACGGCCACGCGTAACTCTGTTTTTGTGTCAAAGGCAGCGCTAAGGAAGGAAGGGAGAAAAAAAGCCACCGTTAAAAATGCATGCTCTACATTTTTTGAGTGTTTGCAAGGTTATCTCATTTCTAATTTAAGGGTTCTATAACAAAACACAAAAGTCTAGCGAGAAAAATGAAAATGTTTTATAATCCCATTATGTAGACAATATTTTTTTAAAATCATTTTATTGAAGGCTCGTATAACTCTTACCACAACCCATACATCCATCCATTGTGTGAAGCACATTTGTACATTGGTTGCTATAATCATTTTCAAAACATTTTCTTACTATTTGAACACTTGGTATCAGCTTCCCAATTTTCCCCTCCCTCCCCCATGAACCTTTGATAATTCATAAATGATTATTTTTCATGTCTTACACTGACCGATGTCTCCCTTCACCCACTTTTCTGTTGTCCATCCCCCTGGGAGGGGGTTATAGTACATGATTGTGATCCCCTTTTCTCCCCCCACCTTTCCCTTACCCCTCCCTGGTATGGCTACTCTCAATATTGGTCCTGAGTGGTTTATCTGTCCTGAATTTCCTGTGTTTCCAGCTCTTATCTGTACCTGTGTACATGCTCTGTTCTTGTCACATTTATAAGGTAGAATTGGGGACATGCTAGTCGGGGGAGGTAGCATTAAAGAACTAGAGGAAAGTTTTATGTTTCATCAGTGCTACTGGCTCTTCTCCTCCTCCCAACATTTGTTCTCATTTCTTGGTTGTTTTTTTTCCCCCTAGTCTTTTTCCTATGCATCAATATCAGGGGCCTCACAAGCCTCTTCATGTAGAAATAGTTTGGGTCTTGTGACACCGAGGGTTTCTGTCACTACTCAACTTTTGTGGTTGAAAGTAGCTTCAGATAAAAAGTAAATAAATGGGTGTGGTGGTCTTCTAATAAAACTTTATTGACAAAAACAAGCAGCAGTCGGATAAGCCAACCAAACCACAAACCAAACTCACTGCCATTGAGTGGATTCGGCCTCACAGTGACCCTAAAGGACAGGGTGGGATTCTTTTCAGAGACTGTGACTCTTTATGGGAGCAAAAAGCCTTGCCTTTCCCCCAAGGAGCGGCTATTGGTTTTGAACTGCTGACCTGGCACTTAGCAGCCCAACATGGAACCACTCTGCCAACAGGGCCTCACCAACCAACAGACTGATGTAATGAGTTGTGATCACACTATAAATGGGATTTTGTCTGTTTTCTCTGGCTGTCACCTTGCTACCACATGCTACCTGCTTGGAGTTGTCACTAACATTTCATGAGTACCCACAACGTATTTGGCACTTTTTTCTAAGGGCTGAGACAAAGTAGAAAACAAGTAACAAGTCCTTGACCTCAAGGAGTTTATAATCTAATGGGAGAAGGAAGAAAACGCAAAATCACAATAATTTTAAATGCTGATAAATGCTCTGACTTAAGCTCAGTCCTGTGGCTGGGATGCCTGAGGAAGTAACCTGAGCTGAGAACTGAGTGATGAGAAGGTATCAAGCATGTGATGACATACAAAAGGCAGCTTCAGGAAGAAGAAATAATATTAATATTTATTGAGTGTTCACCATATGGTAGGCCCTCTCCTTTACTTGTTTACTACTTCTCTTAATCACCTTAACACAACCTACAAGATGCCCTGGTGGTGCTTGTAGGGGCAGCGTCGCACTGCTAACCATAAGGCCCGCAGTTCAAACCCACCAGCCTCTCCTTAGGAGAAAAATGAGACTATTTGCACCTGTAAATATTTACAGCCTTAGAAACCCTGTATAGCAGTGGTTCTCAACCTGTGGGTCATGACCCCTTTGGGGGTCGAACGACCCTTCCACCGGGGTTGCCTGATTCATAACAGTAGCAAAATGACAGTGATGATGTAGCAATGAAAATCACGTTATGGTTGGGGGGTCACCACCACTTGAGGACCTGTATGAAAGGGCTGCGGCCTGAGGAAGGTTGAGAACCCCTGCTCTAGTGTCTAGGTCTTTATGAGCCGGAATCAACTTGATGACAGTTTTTGTTTTAAACACAGCCTGTAAAGTATGTGCCGTTTTCATTCTCCTCTTTACAAGAAAAGAACATTTCATACCAAAATACCCAAACCAGACTCACTGCTGTTGAGTTAATTTGGACTTAAAGCAACCCTACTGGACAGAGTAGAATGGCCAGCAAGGCTGCCCAGGCTGTACATCCTAACAGACGCAGACTGTCCCACCGTCCTCCTGGCTGAAGAGTGTGCACTGCTGATCTTTCAGTGGGTGGTCCAGTGCTTTAACAACGGCATCACCATGGCTCCTCAACTGAAGCACAGAAAGGTTAAATCACTTGCTTGAGTTTGCAGAGCTAGACAGTGGTAAGAAAGGATGTCTGGGCCCAGAATCGGTGCTATTAATCATCTTGCCAAGCAGCCTCTCCAAGAAGCAAGTGTAAAGAGACAATAAAAGGAAATGTATGGTCCCTTCGGGTGACAGAAAGAGAAAGCCAGCCTCTGTAGGTGGAGCACAGGGGGCAAGGAGAAGAGTGGAAAGGGCATGAGATGCAGGCAGAGATGAGAAAGGTGATGTGCATAGTCATTATTTACAGACACCTTCAGGACTAATTCCATCAGGTCTCATCCTCTTGTTTGTTTCAGCCTCAAATGGGCATCCAAGACTTTCTGATCATCAATCACCAAAGGTTCCTCCTGGGTGGCACCATGGTTGTGCGTGGCTGCTAAACTAAAGGTTGGTCATTAGAAACTCCGTCCCCCAAGTGGCACCATGGGGGGAAAAGGCCTTGTGATCTGCTCTGTAAAAGCCAGTGAAGAAGAGCCTATGGAGCTCAGTTTCTTTTACAGTATGCGGGGCTGCCGGGAGTCAGAAACCCAAAGCAACAGGTTCAGTGTTTTTTTTTTTAATATTATCACAAAACTCTCATCCCCCCAAAACTGTTATTGCTCCTGTCCTTTCTCTTCCCTCCTCAACCTGTAAGGTATGTCCTCAACTCTAGCTCTCAATTTGTGATAACCAAATTCTGTACGCAGGGGCTTCTAAAAGTGTGTGGAACAAATCCATCCTCTTTTAATTCCATTTTCTCACAATGCTCTGAAGGCCCCTTGTATGTCTTCAATCTCTGCTTTATTTAGTCACTAGGCTTTATCTTGAAGTTACTACTTCTCTTACCCAAACCCACGGTCATCGAGTCAATTCCTACTCCTAACACCCTATTTAGAGTTCACAAGATTGTGAATCTTTCCGTGTCAATTATGGGGGCTTTGTGGGCGATGTATTGGGCTGCTAATCACAAAATCAATAATTCAAAACCACCAGCCGCTCCGTGGGAGAAACACGAGGCTTCCTGCTCTTAAGAGAGTGAGTCCTGGAAACCCAACAGGGCAGCTCTCCTCTCTTCAATATGCTCACTATAAACTGGAATTGATGGCCATAATTTTCACTCTCTCTCCCCCATACTTTATGGCTGGCAGGTGGGGCGGTACAGCATTACCACTGCAGACCATCACTGTCCTTTGCTTTACAAAATCCCTTTTCTTATCCTTGATAAACCATCCCTGCCTCTCTGCTGCTATTATTCAATTGACCTCCTGGAATTTTCCATCACTCACGGAAGTTAGTTCCTATTTCAAAGGTTCTCTCCACTTTCAACTTCTGTCATCATTTTGGCAACTTCAGCATCCAGGTAGAGGGCACATCCACCATCCTGGCCTTTCAGTTTCCTGAAACCTGCAGGAAACTCCACCTCATCTAGTTACTCCGACACTCACATGCTAGACCTCTATCACCACCCACAAAACTGCAAACACAGCATTCACTTTCATTACAACCTCCTTCCTGCACCTTCTAGCTTCTTCATGGGCCCGGATCACGACAATTCGCTGACCTCATCATCACTGCTCGCTCTGTCCATCAGCCCTCTCCTGGCTTCATTTCCCTTCCTGCCTGGTTCAGAGAACAAGAGTAGAATCACCCTCTTGTATGTCTCCACCGCTAAAGTACTCACCAGGCTAAAGTTTAACCTCGGGTCACCTCAACCACTTACCTTCTCCATGCCTGTATCAAAGGACTCATTGTGGCTGAAGAAAATAAGAATGCACGGACACTTTGGCCTCGTTTTTTAAAACCTTCATATAGGCTTTCCGTATTGCCATACCTAGTACGTTCATTCTCCTACTCCAAAGTGATTACTTAGTACCTGCCTCTCCCAGTCCCCCAACTCACCCTCCTCCCTCGGGGGTTGTCCTTGTCTTCACTCAGAAAACCAGAGGCGAGTTCCATCTACCTACTGCTGAAGTTATAAACTAGGATCTATCTTTTCCATCTCCCCTCCTGCTATATAACCGAGGACACATGTCTCCTCTGATCAAAAGCCTGGATGTCGATGCATGCTTTGGAGTCGTCCTCTCTTGTTTTTGTAAGGGACTTTACTCATTCCCTTCCTCTCTTGCATCATCAGTTTATCTACTAGATCACTTTTATCAGCATACATATGGTATGGTTAATTTCCATTCTCAATGAATACTAAAAGAGCCCCCACAAACCAACCAACCAACCAACCAACCAACCAACCAACCAACCCACCAGTCCACCAACCAACCAACCAACCAACCAACCAACCAACCAACCAGTCCACAAACCAACCAACCAACCAACCAACCAACCAACCAACCAACCAACCAACCCCCCCACAAACCAACCAACCAACCAACCAACCAACCAACCAACCAACCATCCAAACCAGTGCTTCTCCAAATGGGATTGCAGATCAGCAACTTCAGTACTACCTGGGAATTTAGGAGAATGCAAATTCTCAGGCCCCACCTCAGATTTACTGAATCAGAAAAGCCGACTCGGGTCCACTAGTAATCTATAATTTTATCACACCCACCAGGTGATCAGAGGCCCTAGTGGCGTGTAGATTACAAGTTGGACTGCTAACCACAGGATCAGCAGTTCGGATCCACTAGCTGCTTTGAGGGAGAAAGGGACTTCCTACTCCTATACAGATTTAGTCAGGAA